TAAATTCTAAGGGTGCCAATAATTGTGGCCAACGTGTTTTGTAGAAAAACATTTGTTTCATAATGTGACCCCCCCCCCACAAACACACACACACACACATTTGTGAGGACATTCCATAGGCGTAATGGTTTTTATACTGGACAAACTGTATATTCTATCCCCTTACACTGCCCCTATCCTTAAACCTACCCGTCATAGGAGACATTCTGCATTTTTACATTTTTAATAAAACACTGCTTAGTATGTTTTTAAAGCCATTTGAAATATGAGGACTCATGAAATGTCCTCATAAATCACGTTCAAGTTGTAATACCAGTGTAATACTCATGTCATTATACACATTTGTGTCCTCACAAATCACAAAAACAAACACACACACACACAAACTTTCGAATATTTTACTTCTATGAAAGGTTAGATTTTTGAAGGATAAACAATGCAGATTTAATTTTTACAGGCATTTTTGATCATTTTTTGGTCTTTTATTGTTTTAATACTGATGATTTTGGCATACAGCTCATGAAAACCCAAAATTCCTATCTCAAAAAATTAGCATATCATGAAAAGGGTCTCTAAACGAGCTATTAACCTAATCATCTGAATCAACTAATTAACTCTAAACACCTGCAAAAGATTCCTGAGGCTTTTTAAAACTCCCAGTAGGGCTGCACGATTAATCGCACGATATTGTTATGCGCATCTAATCAGTAAAAGCCGGTTCCTTGATTAGTAGTAAATCACCTTCACCTGCTTTCAGATGGACGATATGATGTAGATATGAGTGTTAAATTAACACTCAAGAGTGTTAAAGTTAATGACATAATTAAGTGATTAATTTAGTGATCATTGAGCATTATTGAAGACACCTGATGTTAACAAGCAGAATCACTGAAGGAGAAAATCTAAAATTGTAAGCCACCGTTATGGCGATCAGTGTTTGTTTTAGTTGGGCTCTTGATCCTTATACTTTAAGGTTACATTTTGTTTGTCTGCTGTTATTGATTTATTACAGTCAAATGAACAAAGAAAGTGTGATCTGATAGTGTTGGTTATGTTTTGACATAATCATTCTGAGATCTGAAAAATGAAACTCATTCAGATGATTTGGTTTAACTTGATAGCAACAGTTTAGTGGCTTTACAGCATATGATAATTATATTTTTCTTATAATTCAAAACATTTAATAAAAAATTGTTCTGATCAAATCACTTTCAGATGCATTTATTTAGAAACTCAGACATCAATAATCAGCCTGTGAATCTCAACCGTGGTGACAATAATATTTCTTGTTGCCACCAATCACAACTCATTAATGGCTCCCATCACGCATTGCGGTATGAATACATTATGATCTGAATTGTCTATGTAATTTACTTTTCCTAATTGAATATTCTGCTCGTCACCATCGTTGAGATGCATTGACTGAATCTTGATATCTGTGTGTGCCCAATAGAAAGTTTTTTTTTTTTTTTTACAACTTTTAAAAATCCTTTATATTATATCTCAAATTCTGAATATTTATGCAGAATCTCAGTTATGCAGTAACTAACAGTATAAATCACAAACAATTATTTCAAATGATGAATGTCATAATCTAACCAACACCATTAGATCATTTTTTTTTCTTTGTTCATCTGGCAGGTATGACTCGGATACAACAGCCGAAACAAAATTTAATGTTAATAATATAAGGGTCAAGAGCCCAACTAAAGCAAACACTCATCTCCATAATGGTGACCTGAAATTCCGGTTTTCTCCTTCAGTGATTCTGCTTTAGGTGTCTTCAATAATGCTCAATCATCACTCAATTAATCACTTAAATATCTCATTAACTTTAACACTCTTGAGTGTGGACTCATATACACTCCCAGGTGTGTTAATTTAACACTGAGTTTTTGCTGTGTACAAAGAGCCGTATTTAACTGACAAGCTGAGCCATATCGCATTAAATATCGTTGGCGATATGTCCTCGATTTTAACGCGATTTGGCTCAGCTTGTCAGTTAACTACGGCTCTTTGTAGTAAATGCCGCTCCATCTGAAAGCAGGTGAAGGCGATTTACTACTAATCAAGGAACCGGCTTTACTGATTAGATGCGCATAGCAACATCGTGCGATTAATCGTGCAGCCCTAACTCCCAGCCTATTTCATTACTCAAAACCGCAATCATGGGTAAGACTGCCGACCTGACTGCTGTCCAGAAGGCCATCATTGACACCCTCAAGCAAGAGGGTAAGACACAGAAAGAAATTTCTGAAAAAATAGGCTGTTCCCAGAGTGCTGTATCAAGGCACCTCAGTGGGAAGTCTGTGGGAAGGAAAAAGTGTGGCAAAAAACGCTGCACAACGAGAAGAGGTGACCGGACCCTGAGGAAGATTGTGGAGAAGGACTGATTCCAGACCTTGGGGGACCTGCGGAAGCAGTGGACTGAGTCTGGAGTAGAAACATCCAGAGCCACCGTGCACAGGCGTGTGCAGGAAATGGGCTACAGGTGCCGCATTCACCAGGTCAAGCCACTTTTGAACCAGAAACAGCGGCAGAAGCGCCTGACCTGGGCTACAGAGAAGCAGCACTGGACTGTTGCTCAGTGATCCAAAGTACTTTTTTCGGATGAAAGCAAATTTTGCATGTCATTCGGAAATCAAGGTGCCAGAGTCTGGAGGAAGACTGGGGAGAAGGAAATGGTGAGGTGGTGATGGCGCAGTGGATAAGACACATGCCTTTGGTGTGAGAGACCCGGGTTCGAATCCACTGTGAGACACCAATGTGTCCCTGAGCAAGACACTTAACCCCTAGTTGCTCCAGAGGCGTGCGACCTCTGACATATATAGCAATTGTAAGTCGCTTTGGATAAAAGTGTCAGCTAAATGAATAAATGTAAATGTAAATGCCAAAATGCCTGAAGTCCAGTGTCAAGTACCCACAGTCAGTGATGGTCTGGGGTGCCATGTCAGCTGCTGGTGTTGGTGCACTGTGTTTTATCAAGGGCAGGGTCAATGCAGCTAGCTATCAGGAGATTTTGGAGCACTTCATGCTTCCATCTGCTGAAAAGCTTTATGGAGATGAAGATTTCATTTTTCAGTGCCAAAACCACTGGTAAATGGTTTACTGACCCTGTGCTCAATTGGCCTGCCAACTCTCCTGACCTGAACCCCATAGAGAATCTGTGGGATATTGTGAAGCGAAAGTTGAGAGACGCAAGACTCAACACTCTGGATGAGCTTAAGGCCGCTATCAAAGCATCCTGGGCCTCCATAACACCTCAGCAGTGCCGCAGGCTGATTGCCTCCATGCCACGCCGCATTGAAGCAGTCATTTCTGCAAAAGGATTCCCGACCAAGTATTGACTATTGAGTGCATAACTGAACATAATTATTTGAAGGTTGACTTTTTTTTTTGTATTAAAAACACTTCTTTTATTGGTCGGATGAAATATGCTAATTTTTTTAGATAGGATTTTGGGTTTTCATGAGCTGTATGCCAAAATCATCAGTATTAAAACAATAAAAGACCTGAAATATTTCAGTTGGTGTGCAATGAATCTAAAATATATGAAAGTTTAATTTTTATCATTACATTATGGAAAATAATGAACTTTATCACAATATGCTAATTTTTTGAGAAGGACCTGTATGTAAGAGGTGAAGAGAAAGTCTGTTTTTGGGCATGAAAAGAGAAAGTCAAACAGGTTTGGGTGAGTAAATAATGACCCAATTTAATAATAGTAAATTTACTTTCATGGCATCCCTAGCTCAAAATCAGTGCCTTAAGTGCATTTATATGCAACAAAAATGCAATATTAAGTTTTAAATAATTTCAATAATATCTATCATTTTTGTTTCTGTCCTATTTCATTTATTAATTTATTTATCACAGCAAAACATTCAAGGGTGAATCCATCCATTCACCCAAATATCTTCTATCAGCCTGAGAGTTTGACTGAGAAAGCCAGGAGCAGAAAGCAGGAGACAAAGTGATGGAAAAAATCAGTTGCATATGTTTCAGTGCTCACACTTTATTGTTTCGATGTCTGACTAGTACAAATCCAACCAGAGTTATTATAGCCAAGCAACAGCAATGGAAAATTACTGCATCACAACATCGTCCTGTGATGTTAAAAACCTTGACATGGAGACATTCTCTTATCTCTTATACATGAAGACAAACATCCCTTGAAAGCACACAATCATAAGATTAAACGGCAATAGCGAGCATTGCAAGAGCAAGAAAATAAGTAATGTTAAATATAAAACCATAAAATTATAGAAATGGATAATACAATAATTAAATGATGTAAATCAAATAATATGAATATGAATAAATTGTACAATTATGTAAATCAAATAATCAGAATAATAAATGATAAATCAAATGACAACAACATAAATGACTAATGATTATAAGTGATTCAAAATTAAAATCATATCAAAAACAAAGAAAAAAATAATAAAATGATTAAATGACGTAAATCAAATATGAAAATGAATAAATTGTACAATTATGTAAATCAAATAATAATCAGATTAATAAATGATTAAATGATAAATCAAATGACAACAACATAAATGACTGATTAGAAGTGATTAAAAATTAAAATCATATAAAAAACAACAATTATAATAAAATGATTAAATTATGTAAATCAAATAATATGAATATGAATAAATTGTACAATTATGTAAATCAAATAATAATCAGAATAATAAATGATTAAATGATAAATCAAATGACAACAACATAAATGACTAATGATTATAAGTGATTGAAAATGAAAATCATATAAAAAAAACAAAGAAAATAATAATAAAATGATTAAATTATGTAAATCAAATAATATGAATATGAATAAATTGTACAATTATGTAAATCAAATAATAATCAGAATAATAAATGATTAAATGATAAATCAAATGACAACAACATAAATGACTAATGATTATAAGTGATTAAAAATTGAAATCATATCAAAAACAAAGAAAATAATAAGACAACAGAGAGGTTTCTATTGAGATTCCTTATACAATGCATAAATGATCCAAACTCCGAATCGCATCTTGTTGTTTGTGATTTCTCCATTCAGGTGGAATCTCACCATCACCCTGGAATGTTTTATTATACTTATTTTCCAGATCTTTCTGGAATCTGCACACAAACCATTTCCAGTAGGACAGTTCAGAGTGATCAGGGGTGATGCTCCACTTCTCATAAACTCCTCCTGCGCTTCTGTATTCTTTATATGGAAACCTCCCATCAGATACAATAAAGCTTTTATCACTTGCTACTGAAGTTGTGCAAAAACTAGCACAGAGATTATTTGTGTTATGTTTATGCCATCCATTAATTCCATTCACTCGATGGAATGAAACACTGTGATCTCCATCATGGTTTGGTACGGTGTTGGTGCAGATGGCTTTACAGAATGGACACTGAACCCAACAGCACCGACAGAAGTGATCAATCAGACGCTCATCTGGTCTGTCTTTATAGTCCAGCTTTACTGGAAAAGTCTTTGTGAATCCACTGCTGATGTCCAATATTATAGCAGGAAGACCTTGTCTTATCACCTCTTCTAGGAGTTTCACATCTACATCATCATGATTTAGTCCACTGAGGTCTTTTTCAGAGAAGATCAGCTCGTCTGAGAGCCGCTGTGTGAAACTCTTCAACCACAAACCAACATCTCCTCTGTTCACTTGAACATGTTCAGTGGATTCATGTGCAGCTTCCATGATCTTCTGCTGCAGGAGTTTAATGTTCTTCTTCATCTTGGGTAAAACACTGACACTGAACTTATCACAGATGTACCGACTGACTTCATCTCTGATGAAACTTTTGAAGTGATCTCTGGGGTTTTCAATGTAGTTCATGTATTTTTCAAAAACTTGATCTTCTGCCAGTGTCTTCAGGATGTGTTTCTCCAGTTTTGATCTGTTTCCATTCAGTGATTCACAGTTTGATGTTATTTCATCAGCCAGATCTCTGGCAGTCTTCTTGTAGACACTCTGCTCAATGGGCTCTTTAAGTTTCTGACAGATGATCTCACCAAAAATGGCAGCCGATGTGGCTCCATGGCAATATTTCTGGAAAATACTATAGTAGTTTTTTCTCTTCATCACAGTATATGGATCATTGGTTTTAATGAACATTTTGTGTTGGTCAGTGATCATCTTGTTCGCTCTCTTACAGACGGAAAGAACCAAATCCGTGAAGAATTCAATCTTAAACACATATTTCACTGATCCTTCCTCATGTTGTACTATGCTTTTCTTGATGTTACCAGTGAGTTGTTGAATGAAGCTCTTGTTGTAGCCGATCTTTGAAATGTTAAATGAGTGAATCTCTTTTTCTGTATGCTGAGCAACGTCTGTGACAAATGATCTTATTTGATCTTCATCCTCTTTAGATAGAGAACTGTAAATGAATTTCTCAGCGGATCTGTAGACATTTGGGAAAGATTCACTTGGTTTTTTTACCTTTACATATTCTATATAACTGGGCACAGAGAAAATATCTCCGCTCTTCATCCTTTGGTCTACAGAAACACATCCATTGGTGTCACTGAGGATCTCTCTCACATCTCTCATTACGTCAATGTCTTTGATTGGAGGAGTGTCTGAGATGATTTCCTTCACACACTGTTCCAAAAACAAATCAAACTCTTTCTTCAGTGTTTCTTCATCATTTGCTTTATCTATTAGTTTTAAGGCAAGTTCTTTGCTCTTTAGTTTTGCAAATAGAGCGTTTTCATGTGTCCTCTGATTATCAATATTTTTATTCATGTCTCGTTGCTGAAGAACCTCCTTTAATTTCCTCTTGGTTTCTTTCACAATGTTTTCCTGAAGCTCATTGACTTTGATTTCAAATGACATTTTCCACTGGATCAGTATTTCTTTATCTTTGTCTTTCTCAAAGAATTCAGGCATTGATTTTTTCACTTCTTCACTTGTCTTCTTCAGTTCTCTTTCCAGATCAGTTTCATCAACCTTATGAATTGCTTCATTTTCTATTTGGTTGTGTAGTTTGTTCTCAGTTTCCTTCATGGCACTGCGAAGACTCCAGGTCCATTTGCTGTATTCGGTCTCCAGTTTTCTGTAGGCTGAAATCTCCAGAGAATTTCTGAAGCTGAAGACAAATCGTTCATTCAGTAAAGCCTCCCAGAGATCTTTAATACGATCTTTTAAGTGTGTCAGCATCATCCCATGTGAATTTGAGGCATGGGAAGTAATGGTTTTCTTTAGCTCTTGAATGTTCTCACAGTAGTCTGGGTTTGGTGGTGCCATGGGTGGGCTTCCTTCCCAGAGCTGAGCAAAATACTTCACATCTTTCTGAACATCAAAACTAATGACATCACTGAAACATTCTGCATCATAGACTTCCTCTTCAGCAGCGAGTTTTGTCATCTCATCCAGTGTCTCCTGCAGTCGTCTTCTTCCCTCCATGTTTTTTTCTCCAGTTGTGATGTCTGAAACGTTCTGATGCACAAACACACACCTGGGAGACAGATTTACCTTCTTCATCCTCAGGAAGGCCTGAACAACAATCTGAAGAACGTCCTGCATCTCAGATAGGTTTTCTCCAAATATATTGATCAAGGTTAGATTACCAAGACCAACAACAAATGTGGCCAGTTCATTGTCATGATGTCTTGTTGATCTTCCAGCCAGTTCTAGAGCACGAAAACCTTCAGTATCAACAACCAGAATATAGTCAAAGTTCATCTGTGTTTTCATCTCGTCTGAGACTTTGACCAGCTGCATGAAAGCTCCTCTGGTGCTTCTGCCAGCACTGACGGCAAACTGGAGTCCAAACATGGCATTCAGCATGGTGGATTTCCCAGAGCTCTGAATCCCTATAACTGACAGCACAAAGACTCTCTGGTCTCCCAGTTTCTGAATGAGTTCATCTATAACAGCAGAGATCCAGACCAGAGGAACATGAGCAGCATCTCCATCCATCAGCTCCAGTGGAAATCCAGAGATCATCATCTCTGCTGCGAGACTCGGGAGAGAAGAGAAGTGAACCTGCAGATCTTTCTTGTTCTTCTTCACAGATGAACATGATTCATAGATCTGACTGATCTCCCTCATGATGTGCTCCAAACCAAAGGATGCAGCTTGAAGATCCTCGGATATTCTCTCAAGTTCTGTTTGTTCAGCTTTGAATTGTTCAGGTTTTTCATTGTTCTCTTTCAATTTTAAAACTGTGGACCACTTTTCATCATACTTATGATGAAGAGCAGAAAGGTCAACAGATGTGTGTTCATCCAAGAGGATTCTGAGCCATTTAAGAAAAAACATCTTTTCAAGTTCAGTTTTTGAGTTCATTTTTTTATTAAAGTGCATCATAAACTCACTGATATCACATTCATGCTGTTGTTCTCGGATTTTCTTCATTTCTTTTTTTTTCACACTTCTTGACATTTCTATATTATCTCCTTGAGGTCGATGCAGTTCTTTGTTTTTCTGACTCCACTGATGCCACAGTTCCCCCTGACAGGGCAGAAATGATTTTTTTATTTCTGTCAGATCTTTATCCTCCAATAAACTCATCATCTGCTGTGCTGCTTCTCTTCCTCTCCTGCAGTCATCATCATGTTCCTCATCTACTCTGATGTCTGAGTGTTTGGACACATCTTCAAGTCTGAAAGTGGAAGATGATTCTGAGAGACAATCATTTATGGCTCTTCTGAGTTCTTCAGATACATCTGACAGATTTCTGTCCTTCAGACCAATCGTAAATTTCCCTTTCTTCATCATCATTAAAGTAGATTCATCCTCCGTAAAAAGACAAATAAGCGGCGTTGTTACTTTGATCAGGTTCTGGATCTTTTCTGCACTTCTGTAATTTTTCTGAAGTCCTGGTAGAAGAACAACATTGACTGAGGCCATTTCAGTGAGGATCTTCAGCTGTTTCTCATGATCTCTTGCATCACCGTGTAGATTACAGAACGCAACACAGTCAGTGAATTTATCCGTGTTTTTCCCAGAGGGGCAGAACCAGGCGATCTCCACCACTCCATCCATCAGGACTCTGGTTCTGCTGCTGCCTGGGCAGTTCCTGTGGAAGAACGTGTTGTGTTTCTCATTGATCAGACTTTTCATCAGATGAGACTTCGATGAAGACACAGAGCCAAACCTGAAGAAAGACACCATTGGAGTTTGTGCCTTGCAGACTGGCTGGATTTGACTGATGATTTCATTGCTGTTGTTTCTCATCTTCCAGCTCTTGTTGATTTGTCTGAATGTCCAGAGAGGAAACTCAATCTGTTGTGTGTCTGGATCAGGAACAAGCAGAGGCAGAGCGTACTGACACTGGGACAGTTTAGTGACCATCAGCTGCTTCAGGAAACCATCAGCACAATGAAACACGGCCATCTGAACATCCATCGGGTGAATGCGATCAGATTGACTTTTTCCTTTGTTATACAATGACACTGCTTGGAATATATCACTAATGTCTTCAGATGTGTCAGTGTCTCTTTGTTGTATATTATCATGTTCATTGGCCTTATTAACATGAATGTATCTTGCTCTGTAGTCCATCATCAGTAGTTTTTGTAGGAAAGTCTGAATCATTTCCTCCTCAGCACAGGACTCATGGGACTGTAATGAATGTGCAGTTATCTGAAGAACATCTGCAGCTCTCAGTTTATTGTTCCTGTGAAGATTAAGTCTGTGAAACAGGTGCTGTATTTCTTCACTTTCAGTCTTTTCCTGACGTGAACTGACGTTCTCTCTCTGTTTAATAGACACAATAATAGTAGATTTATTTAATTTTGTATCATTCACATGCAATCATTCAGTACTAATAATGTGAAAGGCCATGGTGTGATTGTGTTTATACTTTAAAAAGTTATTTTAAACTTAAAGTTGAAGTTCACTAGTTCACACTTACATCAATTAAACAGAGAAACAATTATGCGTATTTGGCGTGCTGTCCGGGAGGAGGGCTACGAGCTCGAAATTTTTGCCCGAACCTAGAGTACTCCCCCTGTTGTTGTAAGAGTATTTAGGACTAGAAGTGAGGAGATGGGGTGGTGGAGGGATGCTGTTAAACTGTCAATGTAAGTTTACTGTATATATACACCTCTTAACTCGTTGATTGCGTTGATTAACAGGGTGTTCTCCACTCGTGTCTAATTAGGTATAAATATCTGAATGTGCTCCACATATGTTTAATTAGGATTAATTATCTGAATGTGCTCCTCCCTAAACTTTGTTAATAAAACATTATTAAGATTAAAAAGTAAAACACATTCTTTTAAACCAAGTTTATTGTTCATTGAGTACAATTACCGTAAAACATCAAATAATAGCCGGGTCCCATAGACGCCTGTCTCTTTTACACACCTGGTGTGGCTACAGGTTTGGATAAAAAAGGACGGTCTCAAATAGAGGTCTGGTCTGTTTTTTAGTTTCGGGTTGTATTTAATCTTCTAAACCCTGTCAAATCGTATGTTTAAGCCAGTTCTATGGTGCAGATTGCACATGCAGGAGAGCCCTGCACATCTGGGCGGGAGCTGTTAGCACAAGCAAGGCAGGAACAGTTAGCGGAGGCCAGAGAGGGAGAAGTGGAGGAGACCGACGAGGAGGAGGAATTCGCCTATGAACTAGTTGAGGATCGCGGTGATGATGTTAGTGATGAATAGGGTCTTGTATCACATGATTGCAGTTGTTTTACAGGGTAGCCTTCATTCTTTCTTGTTGATGTGTTTCGGGCAACTAGTTCATTGGCTCGATGGATATTACTGGTAACTTGTATTGTTCAGCCCATGCCGTCACATCGTTTCGTTTTTTTATGCTGCCAATAATCTAAAGGGTCGCACACCATACGAGAAGTGCAGCGCACACCGGACGGACGCACACTTTGTCAGTTAATGGCCAGCAATATTGTTATGTTTAAGGAAATGGAATTAAGATCATGTTTGTACTATGTTATGATCCTACTGTACAATTAAATACAATCGTTGCTTAGTCTGCAGTCTTGAATTCACTTTTCTTCAAACTAAGCGCCCATTTAATTGAATGAATTGAGAATATCACCTGAAAATCCGATAACATCAGTAATTTTCATTCAAGCAGCTGATTTCTGTAAATGAATGTAAAACTGAATGTATATTGCAGCACAGAGCGAAGTCAGTATATACATTAATGATGATTTGAGACAATTTAATATATAACTATGTAAATGGCTCTGTGGCGCGGCAGGATTTTGAACAAGGTCCTGAGCCGTTGCTGGGCGCCGTGGACAGACACCAAATCGCGCCCCCGGTGTGTGTACACTCATACACACATCAAGAATAATGTGTTCGAATTTATCATAACATGGTACAAACATGATCTTAATTCCATATCCTTAAAGGGATACTTCAGGATTTAGCATTAAGCTTTGTATTAGTAGAAAACGTCTCGGTTACGGATGTAACCCTCGTTCCCTGAGTAGGGAACGGAGACGTTACGTCGGATGACGGAGAATGGGGGTTTCGACAGAAAGCCAATCCTCTTCGAGTATTAAAAAACGAGCCAATGGCAAAGAAATGCCATGGGTCTGCGGAATTTGCATAATGTATCTCCGCCTCACCGCGTGAGTATTTAAGGAGAAACACCTGCAACAGCAGATCATGTCTTCGCTGAGGAGCCAAGATTGAACTCAGGCGTCGACCCAGCGGTACAGCGGAAGTGGCACGGAGACGTAACGTCTCCGTTCCCTACTCAGGGAACGAGGGTTACATCCGTAACCGAGACGTTCCCTTTCGTAGTCACTCCGAGTTACGTCGGATGACGGAGAATGGGGGTCCCCGTGTAATCACGCCACCTTCACAGCTGTCTTCCAGTGCCCTGCGAAGTCTGACCTCCCTGTCGTGATATAGGCACGGACGAAGGAGTCCTACTTAACACAGGAATACCAAGGTACACTGGGAAGCATATCTCAGGGGAGATATGCCGCAGCATGCCTACCCGTAGGGAGGACTTAAGAATACACATATGGCCCAAGGGGGCTACATATGGAGGAACACTGGAGTGACCAGCCCGTAGGGTGGCATCTACTTTCAACTCCAGGAGTGGCAGGTGACTTGCCGAGGGAAAGACACATGCTCAAAGAGGCTTACAGTGGAAAATACACATGTGGGGGTTACTCAGAGGAGGAACCATGCACACGGAGGCACCTAGCCGACGCACAGGCAATAGACACTGGCGCCAGCGTCAACAGTGCTGGAGGAACTCAGGGCTTCAGAGAGGAAGGCTACCTGAGGAAATATCGCACGTATCCAGTCCGTGGAGTGGAATGGCGAGCAAGCGAGACACTTAACAGCTCCCATGTTAGCTTGAAAAAGACAGTACATGGGCGGAGACTGGCTCCACTCGGAGATTGTAAAATCTGGCGAATGTGTTAGGTGTCGCCCAGCCTGCAGCTCTGCAGATGTCTGTCAGCGAGGCGCCACGCGCTAGAGCCCAAGAGGACGCCACACTCCGGGTGGAGTGGGCGGTCACACCAAGGGGGCATGGTCGACCTTGCTGCTGGTATGCCAAAGCAATGGCGTCCACTATCCAGTGAGACAACCTTTGTTTGGAGAGAGCCTTTCCCTTCAGCTTCCCACCATAACAGACAAAGAGCTGGTCTGAGGTCCTGAAACACTGCGTCCTGTCTACGTAAGCACGGAGTGCGCGTACTGGACAGAGCAGTGCCAAGGCTGGGTCTGCCTCCTCCCGGGGCAGCGCTTGCAGGTTCACCACCTGGTCCCGGAAGGGAGTGGTGGGAACCTTGGGCACATATCCGGGCCGGGGTCTCAGGATCACGTGAGAGAGGCCGGGCCCGAACTCCAGGCACGCTTCGTCAACGGAGAATGCGTGCAGGTCCCCTACCCTCTTGATGGAGGCCAACGCAACCAGGAGCGCTGTCTTCATTGACAGGATCTTAAGCTCAGCTGATTGCAGAGGCTCAAAGGGAGCCCTCTGCAGGGCACTTAAGACCACTGAGAGGTCCCAAGAGGGAACGAGAGGAGGGCGAGGAGGATTCAGTCTCCTCGCTCCTCTCAGGAACCTGATGATCAGGTCGTGTTTTCCAAGAGACTTACCTTCAACTGCTTCGTGATATGCGGCGATAGCGGCCACATACACCTTCAGGGTGGAGGGAGACAGCCTTCGCTCCAACCCGTCTTGCAGGAAGGAAAGCACAACGCTGATCGAGCATCTCCTGGGGTCTTCTCGGCGAGAAGAGCACCAGTTAACGAAGAGGTTCCACTTCAACGCATAGACATGTCTCGTGGACGATGCTCTAGCGGAAGTGATGGTAGCCGCCACCGCTGGTGGCAGGGTACTCAAACCTGCCTCGTCCCGTCCAGGAGCCACACGTGGAGTCTCCAAAGATCGGGACGAGGGTGCCATAGGGTGCCCCGTCTCTGAGAAAGGAGGTCCTTCCTCAGAGGAATTGGCCAAGGAGGTGCTGTCGCGAGGAGTACCAGTTCAGAGAACCAGGTCTTGGTGGGCCAGTATGGGGCGACCAATATGACCTGCTCCTCGTCCTCCTTGATCTTGCACAGAGTACGTGCGAGAAGGCTCACTGGGGGAAACGCATACTTGCGTAGGCCCTGCGGCCAGCTGTGCGCCAGTGCATCCGTGCCGAGCGTGCCCTCGGTCAGGGAGTAATACAGGGCGCAATGGGATGAGTCGTGGGAGGCAAACAGATCTATCTGTGCGTCCCCGAACTGGTCCCATATCAGCTGGACCGACTGGGGATGGAGTCTCCATTCGCCAGAGGTTGGCCGGAGCCGTGACAGCTCGTCGGCTGCAAGGTTCCGCACTCCAGGAATGTAAATAGCACGAAGGGACCTCAGGTGCTTCTGACTCCATAAGAGGAGGTGGCGTGCGAGTTGCGACATACGGCGAGAGCGTAGACCACCCTGACGGTTGATGTACGTGTACGTGTTGACCCAGGAGCAACGCGTGGAAGCGGTGCAGGGCAAGGCGTACTGCCAGCAACTCGAGGCAATTGACATGCAGAAGGCGCTGGGGTCCTGTCCAGGAGCCCGCGGCTGCATGACCGTTGCACATGGCGCCCCAGCCCGTGGCAGAGGCATCTGTGGAGACGACAACATGCCTGGAAACTCGTTCTAGGGGAACTCCGGCCCGTAGAAAACTGAGGTTCCGCCACGGGGTGAAGGACTGACGGCAGGTCGGAGTTATTAGAACTCTGAGCGTACCGCGATGCCATGCCCACCTCGGGACCCGATCGCGAAGCCACAGCTGAAGCGGTCTCATATGAAGCAATCCGAGTGGCGTTACCGCGGCTGCAGATGCCATATGCCCCAGGAGCCTCTGAAAAAGTTTCAGTGGGACCGCACTCTTGCCCTCGAATTGTCGAAGACAAGTCAGCAGTGAGTGTGCGCGCTCGCTCGTAAGCTGCGCGGACATGGCGACCGAGTCTATCTCCATACCGAGAAAAGAGATCCTCTGCACGGGGCAAAGTTTGCTCTTCTCCCAGTTGACCCGAAGGCCCAGACGGGCTAGGTGCCGGAGCACAAGGTCTCTGTGTTCGCAAACCTGAACTCGAGAGTGAGCTAATATTAGCCAGTCGTCGAGATAATTCAGGATGCGAACCCCGTGTTCGCGTAGGGGAACAAGGGCTGCCTCGACGACCTTCGTAAAGACGCGAGGAGACAGAGCCAACCCGAATGGGAGAACCGCGTACTGGTATGCCTGCCCCTCGAAAGCAAACCGAAGAAACGGTCTGTGTCGAGGTAAAATGGAGACATGAAAGTAGGCGTCCTTCAGGTCTATCGCTGCAAACCAATCCTGTGGCCGCACGCATTCGAAAATGCGCTTGGCCGTGAGCATCTTGAACGGCAGCCTGTGAAGGGAGCGGTTCAAGACGCGCAAGTCCAGAATTCCGTAACCAAGTCCGTAACCCAACGGTTTTCTTGGGGACAATGAAGTAGGGGCTGTAGAACCCTGACCTCATCTCGGCTGGAGGGACAGCCTCGATTGCACCCTTCGCCAGCAGGGTAGCAACCTCCGCTCTCATGACCGGGGCATTGCCACCGACCATAGTAAAGCGGACTCCCCTGAAGCGGGGAGGAGACCGTGCGAACTGAATCGCATAGCCGAGCCTGATAGTTCGGGCGACCCAACGGGACAGATTGGGGAGCTCTAACCAAGCCCCCAAAAACTGATCCAGCGGAACCATCCGAGCCACAGGCGTCCCCCCGGAGGGGCAGCGAAGCGGAGTGACCGGCACAGGCAAGGGTGGCATAGCGGCCCTGAGCGTGTGCACAGCCAAACTCCGCGCCCTGACAGAGGAGACCAGGGAAGGACCAGCGTTCCACGGGGGTCTGCTCTGCCAGGGGTCTGGCGATAGAGGGGGATGAGAGTGGTGTGGTCCGGGGACGGCACGCACTGTCATCCTCGCCCTCAGAGACAGAGCAGGACGAGAGTGGCGAGGCACGGGGGCGTCGCACACTGTCATCCGGCTCTGTATGCTCAGTGATGGACATTTCGATTCTTTCTTTAACCACATTAGGGTGCTGCCCACCCGTGGGTGAGCAGTGGGGAGTGGAGAACAAAAGATTCTCCCCCGGCCCTCCACCGGGGGAAGGAGGGGGCCTGCAACCGCCTCCTGGGAAAAAACCGATGCCATCACTGAGCAGCCCGTCTCAGGAACGCCGCTTGGCCTGGCGTTTAGCGGGGCGCGGGGCCTGAGGGGGCTGGGGCGCCTTCCTGCGGCTTCCTCCACGACGCGGCCCGGGTGAAGGCTGCTGCTGGGGCCGTGCGGGAGGGGCGGGAGCTGCAGGAGGGCGCCCTCGGCGGCGAGCAGGCTGAGGCGTCTGTGCCGACGGCTGGGTGGAAGCAGCAGCTGGCCGTCGGGGCAGAATATGTTTGATCGCCTCAGACTGCTTCTGTGCGGTCGAAAACTGCTGGGCGAAGTCTTCAACCGCTCCGCCGAAGAGGCCGGCCTGGGATATGGGGGCGTCGAGCAGACGAGTCCGCTCAACGTCCCGCATATCGGCCAGGTTCAGCCAGAGGTGACGCTCCTGGACCACATTAGTGGCCATCACCTGACCCAGGGAGCGTGAGGCCACCTTCGTCGCCCGGAGAGTGATGTCAGTGGCGGCACGCAGTTCGTCGAACGTCCCTGGGTCAGTCCTGCCCTCGTGCATGTCTCTGAGCAGCTGGGCCTGGTAGACCTGTAAGGTGCTCATCGCATGCAAAGCGGCAGCCGCCTGTCCTGCAGCTCTGTGAGACCTCGCCACCATAGATGACGAGAATCTACAGGCCTTGGACGGGTGCTTAGGATTACCACGAGAGGAAGCGCTCTGAGGACACAGTTGCATCGCAACAGAGCGTTCCACCGGGGGAATCCCAGTGTACCCATGGACAGCTGCGCCATCGAGGGGAGGAAAGGCGGAGAAAGCTGACGAGCGTTCACGGGAGGTCAAAGGAGCCTTCCATGATCTCGACAGCTCCTCATGCAGCTCCGGGAAGAAAGGAATTGGGGTTGGCTGAGGCCGTGAGGCGGCAGCCGCACCCAAAAACCAATCGTCCAGCCGCGAGCGCTCGGGGCAGGGCGGAGGGTTCCACTCTAGCCTGATGCTCACGGCTGCCCGGGACAGCATGGCTGTCATCTCGGGATCCGACACGGGCAACGCTGGGACTCCCGAAGGAGGCAACGCAGCCGCATCCTCACTTCCCGAAGACTCGAGCCCACCTTGTGATGCCGCGATCGACATCGTATCATCTTCTGGAGCGCCGAATGAAACACGCGGGGCTTCCGAAGAAGGACCCGCCTGAGTCACCGCGGCACTCGCGGGTTGCAACACAGCGGAGGGGGGTGTGGTCCGAGGACGCATCGTCGGATTGCTCCACACCGTCACCCTCAGATCACCCTGTCCCCCAGCCGAACTACCACCTCTCGTGGAGGAAGTAGAACGGGTGGTGGACGCGGGGACTCTCACTGAAAGATCATTGAGTCTTAATCTTAGTGTTGCGATGGCCATGTTCCCACAGAAGGAACACGAGTCATCCACGAGCGCTGCTTTAGCGTGTTCAAAGCCCAGACACACAAAGCAGCGCTCGTGCCCATCAGAGGACGACAAATATCGACCGCAACCAGAAGAACACGGGCGAGACATCTTTAAAAAGACGTGCCACGTGCAGCTCTTTTAGGAGAGGAAAAACTCTGCAATGCTGAGGCGACCAGGGAGAAAACACAAAGTCAGGCAGACCACTGCACAGATCGCAGGCAATGTGAAGACTCGCTGGGTACCGCCGTCACACCAACACTGGAGAGTTCGCTCGTCTCGAAGAGGTGAGTCACTTGTAAACTCAGGTCTTGTGGCTGTGGAGTGAAGAGGTTCTCATGGCTCCGAACCGAAAACATGATCTGCTGTTGCAGGTGTTTCTCCTTAAATACTCACGCGGTGAGGCGGAGATACATTATGCAAATTCCGCAGACCCATGGCATTTCTTTGCCATTGGCTCGTTTTTTAATACTCGAAGAGGATTGGCTTTCTGGCGAAACCCCCATTCTCCGTCATCCGACGTAACTCGGAGTGACTACGAAAGGGAACCTGTATTATTTTCGAATTACCGTGCTTTCCACCCTCATATCCCCCTGAGACGAGAGATTTATGTATTTTTTGTCTGGAAAAAATCCTCCGATGACGCAAAAATCGTCATTTTGCGTCATCTGAGGATTTTTTGGCCAGAGGCTAAAGACTACAGCCAGTAGTAGGGGCTGTCCCGCATGTTCTCAACCCGCCCATAGAGGGTGGGATCTCACTCACAGTTGTCAGCCATCTTTTTTGGAAGCTAAGTTAGCAGGCTCTTGTTCTGTGGAGAAAGCTGAGTAGTAGGGGTTACCATCGACTTTTTCCCGGACATGTCCGGCCGTCGAGATCGTACAAAATGTCTGGGATTCAGCTTGCTTTCTGCAGTCGCAATTCATTGTTTACATGTACACCGTTTGTTTCAATCTAACTGAATTCATTCCGATTGGTGAATCTGAATGTAGTGTTTACATGAACGCTAAACAAGTGATCGGTTGATGTGCGTTTTAACATTGCTAAGACAATTCCCGCTCCTCCGTGAGAGATCCGAGGCCGGTGCGTCTCACAGGTGCCGCTCATCAGTAATCACGCCACCGGCCTCGCGTCGTTCTCCCACCGCCCTCACTCGTCCTGCTCGCCACAGTAAACATGATGAATGGCGACTGTAGAACGCAAAAGCCGAATCCCGGACATTTTTGGGCGATCTCGAAATCCCGGGCAGACTCATCACGGAGACTCACTAGTAGCCTAGACTTGTTGTTTAACTACTGCGTTTGTCACCGGTAGGTGTGGCCTCCTAGGGCAGCGAAGAAAGTGCATTCTGGGAGTTGTTGTCTTTCATCCACATAAGCCAAAAATACATTTTCTGGCTTTTCTCAGTCTAGAAAGCTCCAAATTCAAAAATAATTTCACATTTCTTCTACATAAATGACCCATTTTAAATACACATTCATCTTTCCAGAGGTGAAGTATCCCTTTAAACATAACAATATTGCTGGCCATAAACTGACAAAGTGTGCGTCCGGTGTGCGATACCTCAAGTTGTCATAGACGCAACGTGGCGCTGCGCTTCCCTTTAGACATACGGTAATGTATAGGCTAATTCTTACATTAACTGATTTGTTAAACACAAGCACAGATTTGGTAACCTCCTACTGTCATGCTTTCCGTCTATTAGCCTATGCAATTTGGTTCGTTATCTCTAGGCGTACACTCAATGAACAACATCTCAACACTAAATTAAAGGCCTGTCTCATAGACATTCATAATATGACATTCATGGGTATCTCCCCCTTTGAGCCTGCCAGGCACAATTAAAACATTAAGAGCTGTCCTCTCAAATCTGTCCCAAACAAGTTATAATGCTCCCTTTCATGTTACTCTCTGTTACAGAAGTGCATGTCAATATCAATTGCAATTAGACCTTCAGTTGGTTCAACATTTTGAATTCACAATGACCTCATATATTACTCACACTGTGAGTATCACCATATGAGGATGATGTGATGTCACTGTGATCATCACATGATTCCACATGTTGACTGGGGAGCATCCTGTTCTTTTCCATATTTCGAATTTACTTTTTGTTTGTTTGTTTCGTTTTGTTATACATTTTCTTATTTTGTTACTTGCTCCTAACCATAGACAGGGAGTAATGTACCAGTTATGAAACATAACTTGCATTGAAAGCACAGGCATAAATTGCACAGGATGCCACACAAATCTGCACTCTTACCTTCACAGCTGGTTGTGTCTGTGATTTTCCATTCTGTTGTGATCCATTCATTCCTGCTCCTGCCGCACGTCCACCTCCTAGTGCTAGTGATGCTCTTGCCTCTGATACTTTTTTAAATATTGTTGCTGCTGCTATTCTTAATCCTACAATTAATGTTTCCACAGGTAATGCTGCTTTTACTCTTTTTACTAGGTCTACCGCCCATTGTAAGTTATCTATCACCCACTCTATTTTATTAATTGCCCACTGTAATTGTGTTCTTCCTGATGCAACCATTGCAGCTCCGGCCAGTGCTCCAGTTACTGCTGTTCCTGCAAGTGATTGTGTTCCTAACAATAAGTGCAATAATGCTGTTGCTGTTCCTGCTAGGCCTCCTGCTACTGCTACTGCTATATCTGCTGTTCTTTTTCTAGCTTTTGCTTCCAATAGTGATTGTAAAATGCTTATTCCAGCTGCTGCTCCTGCTGCTGCCCCTACTACTGCTGCAACTATTGTTAATGTTACTGAATTACCTACTACTACTGCAACTAGGGCAACTGTCAGTGCTATTGTTACTGTTAGTGGTGATTGTAGTAATGCTGCTTTCACTCTTTTTACTAGGTCTACCGCCCATTGTAAGTTATCTATCAGCCACTCTATTTTATTAATTGCCCACTGTAATTGTGTTCTTCCTGATGCAACCATTGCAGCTCCGGCCAGTGCTCCAGTTACTGCTGTTCCTGTTAGTGATTGTGTTCCTAACAATGAGTGCAATATTGCTGTTGCTGTTCCTGCTAGACCTCCTGCTACTGCTACTGCTACTGCTATATCTGCTGTTCTTTTTCTAGCTTCTGCTTCCCATAGTGATTGTAAAATGCTTATTCCAGCTGCTGCTCCTGCTGCTGCCCCTGCTACTGCTGCAACTATTGTTGATGTCACTGAATTACCTACTACTACTGCAACTAGGGCAACTGTCAGTGCTATTGTTACTGTTAGTGGTGATTGTAGAGTTGCCCTATGTTCTCCTGCTTCTTCTCCTGGCACTGCAATATTAAAGAAGAATTGTCTTTATGAAATGTCGTCATCATCACAGAAAAGCAAACACCTCCAAATATGCTCACTAATGTGTATTGGATATTGATGTTATCCATATATATTTTACATTTCTTACCCATGTTGCTTGATTTTAATTTGCCAGGATGACACAGATCTTTCCATAAGAACCCTTGTCAGGTTTACAGCTCCTTTCCCCCTCTTTATTCCCAAGCCATTTGTCCCCCTTTAAATAAACAAATGTTAAAACATTTTTTAAATATTTTTTTGACATGCAGCAGATAAAGATTACATAGGTAAGCAATAGCACAGTCAGAATGTTCATGGTGGATGATTAACCAAGTCTTTTCCTAAGGAGCACAGTAGGTAAACAGGTGAGTATGTGACTAAATAGGAATATATAGCTGGAGGAAACCAGGATATCACAGAAAATTGACATAGGAGGTAGCTGGAGTTCAATGGCGCAGATCGCTGGAGTGGAGACTTACAAGCCAAACCTCCACGGCAAGTGAAGCTGTATCCATTAGAGAAGCCATGAGTTCAGTGATTCAGGTCAAATGATTGTGAAATAAGAATTGTTAAAACACAACCAACACCATCAGATTTTTTTTTTTCTCTTCTTTCAACTAGCTGTTATAACTCAGTTAGAGCCTCCAAACTAGATCCAAAGTTAATAATTAAGGGGGCTTTTACACTGGGCTCGTTTGCTGCGGTCCGAGCCCGAGCCCGAGCGCGATTGTTCCCGGCACCCCCCGTAGCGTTGGTCTGGTTTCACACTCAATTTGATTATATCGAACCCTGGTGCATTTGCGTGCATCTTACGTCATCGCAAACGTGCACACCGCATGATAGAAAACAGAACGTGGGTCAATATGTTGTCTTTTTTATTAGTTCGGTGCTATTATGCGCAGTTGAGTGAACAATACAGGTTTACTGTGAGTGTTTGTCACATAAGGTGCCTTTCTGCTGCTTGCAAATGGACTCTTTTGAGGAGACAGTGGATTTCCAAATTTGTCGCCCTGATTCCACGCAATATGCGCGAATACAATGCAGGCTCACTCTCGCTCGTATCCAAGGTAAATCAACAACACTATCATCCCTTACATGTGTTTTATTTAACTAAATACATCACAATCAGCTAAAAAGTATGCGCAGGTCACTTTACTTCCTGAACAAGTGCGCACCCGAGTCCGTGTTGCTTTCACATTCACGTGAACCGCGGCACGGTTCAGGAGCAGCCAAACTCAGACGGGTTCAATACCCCAGTGCGCACCCGGGTCTTATGACAGCGTTCACATTAGCGATTTTTCATGCGAACCGTGCCCCTTTCCGAACTAAACTGCCTGTGTGAAAGCCCCCTGAAAGACCATGAGCCCAGCTACAGTAAACACTGATCACCATAATGGTCACTTGAGATTTGTGATTTTCTCCTTCAGTGATTCTGCTTGTTAACATCAGGTGTCTTCAATAATCCTCAATCATCACTCAATTATTCACTTAATTATCTCATTAACTTTAACACTCTGAGTGTGGACTCATATAAACACTGAGCAGTGTTAATTTAACACTGGGGATTTTGCTTTTTGTGAGTATGGAGTAATGGAGTAAAAAAAATGTATAATATATTTTTTTAATCCTTAGGGTCACTGGAAATCTGGGTGTCTACATGTGTATTTATCAT